AATCCTTATCATGAACTACCATTTTTTTTACACAAGAAATTTGAAAATCTGTTGGAAAAATCAATACATTGCAATCACCCCAGGAACAGCTGACAAACATTTCTGTCAAGTAATAAATTTGAAATCAAGGTCAACTCAGTAGGCAAAAAAGGTGTGGAGGCTCATAAAAAGTCTGTGGTGCAGAGTGCCAATATATAATTTCATAGGAAACTTGAACTGTGCACTTCGAATTAAAATGGACTTATATGTTAAGATGATAGAAAAGGAATAACTTTACTGGTATTTTTTTGTGTGCAATTCTTTTAAGCTTTAATGAAAAAAAAAAACCCTGTAACACACACACACACACCTAAACAACCTCCCACACAATCCCACACCCTCTCTCTCACACACACAGACACACTCACACCCACACTCACAAACATTAAAATACCATCTACTGGCCGTTTATAGTACAACCATCTTCACATTAGGTAATATGTAATTATTGTATGTAAATAGATTAGATTCACTTACTTTGATCGTCAACAGTAACTTCTATGTCCTTGTCATCAGTATCAATGCTTCCTACAAAAAGGGAGTCTACTGTGCGTCGCAATTTGTGGGATCTTCTTTATAATAAAAAAAAAAATTAACAAAAATTCCGTCGGCATAATTGTAGAATGGCTGAAACATATCACTGGAAATCGAAATATTTGCCCTCAATAGCGTATTCGAATTCGATTGGCTATATCCCCAAAAATCACCAATCAAATTAAGAATAACTGTTTGACATGCGCAGAAATAAAGGAGCGGAAGTTAAATACTCATTCAAACATTTTGTTGCAGAACGAGAAAAACATGTATTGAAGATGAAGATCTTTTGCATTCAAGTGAAACTGTCAATTCAGGACTAGGTAAGATATATGATTTTGACTTAAAAAGCATGTGCCATTTGTACAAAGTATTTAAGTTTTAAAGAATGATTGAATGTTAAAAGTTAAATGTTCAGCATACATGTATTAAACAAGACAAGATATAGAAATGAGAAATAATGATAAAAAAAACCTGTAAAAGGGTGAATATATATACATATTTTTGGTCCTTTAATACTGGAAAATCGTAACGTTAACTAAAAGGACCGGCATTTCTTTTAAATTATACCAACATTGTATGTACTTAATGATTTTTTTTAATCGAAAATTTATTTTCCTGTAAGTTTTAATTGATTAATTATCAACTGAAATGAATTTTTAAAATCCTATAGTATGCGGTTTTGTTTAAATCTCTGAGCTTCCACATTATGAAGACATCTAGACTGAATGTGTAACGAGAATTTTTGATTGCGCATTCGATAACTTCGGATAATTCCCGGCGTTACTGACATGAAACAGCCGAGATGTGTCGAATGAGCAATTGTTAATCCATTCCTTACCCTTGAGGTTATTTTTATCAGTGTCCATATAACAAGAAGTAGTAAGGCTGATTTTTCCCATTAATATAATTTAATCCGCAACCATCGTTCTGTTCGCATCACGGAGTACACACATGCAATGAATAATGGTTCAAGGGATAATAACAACTGTGTAGATAGAAAATACACTGCTAACTGCCCTGTTTTAAAATTATTTTCTCAAATGCCGCTTTTCTAATTTTAAACTGACAGAATGTCAGAAATACTCAAGCTGTAGAAAGTAGTTACAAAGAAGTGTCATTACTATTCAAAATCTAAAGTAAGAAATAGGCTAACAAGTATTTTCACGTGCTTGATAAATATAAGAAAGAGTTAAGAATTTTTAGTAACGTTTTAACATTATACAAAACTTAAAATTTCATTAATTATTCTTTTATGGACACACGTCTTTTAAAAGTTATTTTTATTCAGTATATTTCAGGCATATCCGTGGAAGCATTATTTTCTGTTGAACCCGCCCGTTTTAAGCAAATTGCTTTTCCATGAACGTATTTTTATATGCTACATCTATTTATATTATTCAATTCACTTACATGTAATATGTATATCCTAAATACATAGCAAAATTTGATCTATTACACCAGTATTAAGTTTCTTTCTTAAATGAGACCCCCCCCCCCCCGGAAAAAAAACCCGTCAAATCGATTAAAATTGGTACATCAAATTCCAGTCATTTTTTTCTTTTTTTCATCATCTTCGCTTTTCTATTATTTCCTTTAAAATAGAAATTTACCAAAAAATCGCATGCGATGATAATCCGTAAAACTTATGAATTATGTTTTATCGAATACAGCCCGAGAAATTAATAACAGTTCTATGAAAGGGAAAGAATTTATGACTTTGTAATAATAAATTTAAATAAAACCAAAATTGTTGTACGTGTAAACTGGAATAGAGTAGTCAGATCAATACACTGTGTTACCGACGAAAGATTAACCTGTTTCACCTTTCAACAGTAACCAATGAACTCGTCCGTTGACGGTTGTGGGAAATTCTACGAAAAGGAAAAGCAATCGTCGGTAACCAACGGGTGAATCACGTCGAATTTCTCTATCTTGTGGACTGGTTTTGATAATTTGAAATTTTGTTTTGTTTCCTTGATACCTAACATGTATTCAATATGCCCGGAATAGGTACTCAGAATAATTACCCTGTGTGTTGTGTGTGTGTGTTTAAACAATTAATGTGTAAAGTTTTTTTTTTTCATAAATAGATAAATTATTCAGTATGCTTTCAAGTAAACATCATCTGTCTCCCTCAGCCGCGCTTACTCTTTCCTCGCCTATTTAATAAGGCCACCTAAAAAATAATGTTCGTTGGACTTCTCCTCACTCAAAATGAAATCGAAGTACCGATATTCTTCACTGTCAACCGGAACCAATCCATTTACTAAATAACAATGAAATGTAATGATTCATTGAAAAATCTCGTAATAAATGTATAATTTTGGTTACAGATTCTGATACCCTAAAAGAATATGAAGCAGTGAATGAAAGAATCGGATTCTCTTGTGGAGTTTTAAAAAAACGATCGAATTTATGTTATACTAGATGACATCGACTAAGATTAAAAACCTAAGGTAATCTCTCTCTCTCTCTCTCTCTCTCGATATTAGGTAATCTTTATATATAACGGACTCTTTGATCTGTTATCATGACACAGAGAAAAGATAGGACAGGACAAATATTTCCTCATATTAAGCAATGCAAGTTTTTAAAGAACATTCTGCCAAATCAAGTCTCATGCTCATTGTCATAATATAATAATAGGAAGTGGTGCCATATAAATCTAGGCTTTGATTTTTAAAACATATTAACAAATTACGTTCATATGAAAAATGATTGGTCTTTGTGAGGTAAAGCATTTGAACGCATGTAATTAATCTACAGTGTATTTCATACCCTATAAATGGAATTCGTTACAGGAACTATTATACATAGTGACTTTACGCCCTAAAGTGGTAAAGAAACAATATTAAACAGCTATTTCTATTGACTTCTTCAAAATTGTCAAATGGACGATTTTTTACGCAGCAACTGGTTCACTAAGATGTCATAATTTTTTTCTTCTGCTGTAATAAAGCTTTCATTTTGTCAATTGAATGAGGATATTTGAAATAATAATCTGTCTGAGAATTATAATTTTATACGCTCATCTTAAGGCAGGGCATATTTTGTTATGGCGTTCATGTTTGTCCATATATCTGTCTGTTTACTTTTTCGTGTCCGGCTCATAATATTTATACTATAAGCATAAAATTAACAAACTTTGTCAGCTGGTACATCTTGTGTAAAAGGTGTGTTTCACTCTAAAAATAGGTCATTGTGACCTTTAATTAAGATGTTATTGTCAAGAGAGGGGAAAATCCTGTCCGGCTCATTACTAGATAACTATTAGACCAAGAACCGTAATACTCGGCCATTTGATGTATCTTATTAAATAGAAGGTTTGTCGCATCCTATTTAAAAGGGCACTTTGACCTTCATTTAAGGCAAAATTTAAATATATATATATATATATATATATATATATATATATATATATATATATATATATATATATATTCATATATATATATATATATATATATATATATATATATATATATATATATATATATGTCTTTACATTTTAAATTATACAGTCCCAAAAGATGTAAGAATATTGCAGATATTTAAAAAATGTTTCATCAAGAAAATACACAGTTTTTTCTCATTGCTAACTTTACAACAATTTTTAACAAATATAATAATGTTTTGTTTGTGTCAAAAACAAGAGAGAAATTCCACATTGGTGTAATTATCAAGCAGTAGTAAAGAAGAATTTTAATAACAAATTAGATGTTGAATTAGATAAATTAATGAGTTTCCTGTGAGGAATTTTACTGGTAGAGCATCTCTGATCAGGCAGATGTTATCTTGATCTCTTGGGAATTAAGCAAAGGAATTTAATTGCTCAGTCTTGGATAAAATTATCTTGTTGTCTAGCCTCTTTCAAAATAAATCCGGTATAAAGTAATGAAAACTAATTTGAAATTGTACAGTGTGAATTTTTTTTTAATATTGTCCAGCAAATGACAATGGTATTAATTGCTTAGATAAAGACTTTTTGCAATACACAAAGTCTGGAAAAGGGAACAAATCTGATGGCAATTATGGCTGCTTAACGTCTATGAGAAATATTTGGGGGGAATCTCCTGCAGGGTCTTGGTTTACTCATCTCTGGGACTTGTCCTAACCTCTTTTATTGGATATGTTTCCATTAGGAAGTACTGGCTCATTTTGCCACATTTTTAGAAAAAAAATAAAGATACCAAATGCAGTTTATTATTCATAGTTCTTACCTTTTTTTTAAGTATCTGAGGTTAAATTCCATGTTTACCCCATCACACTTCTCTGCCTAAATCTGTCCAGCATTATGCACAAATGTAATAAATTTGTTTGGTGAATGTAAAAATTCAATTAATGGTTTATTTGACAATATATTAGATAGAAAAAATATCAAAGAATATGAATTTTATCACTCAAATGATGTATATTTTTTACAGGGTATTACAGAAGAGGAATAGAATATTACACTGTGGCAGTTGTTGAATACTTGGGAGTAATAGAGAAGAACAAGTAAACCTACTGCAAGACTTTTTTAGGAAAACTCGATGAACAATTTATCATGTCTAATATTAATTTATTAATACTAAACTAAAAAGACACACAGAAAATTGCCAAAATTTCTTTAAATTTATCTGAATTGTCTTCTCTTAGCTCTCTAACAACCACTTGTTAAAAATATTTACTTTTTATACTATATTTTAAGCAATCAGCGTTTAAGACTTGCAAATAAATCTTTTTTCAGACTTATTTTCTTAGCAAGTAACTGTTATCACATGTTATAAACATATAAATTTAATAATGAATTTCTTGTCAAACTGTTGTTAAAAAGTTGTTTTCTTTTAAAGTTTTCTGAATTAACTTCCCTTGTTTTTCTAACAACTAGTTGCTAAGACATTTTCAGGAAGCTATCTAAGATATTCTTAACAAGCGATTGTTACGGTTAAGACTTTCTTGAAGCTATTTAAGATTTTCTTAACAAGCAGTTGTTAGGGTTTAGACGTATTCAGGAATCTACGATATTCTTAACAACCAGTTATTAGGGTTTTAAAAGAACTCATTAATTGAAACATAGCTTTCTTAACAAGCAGTTGTTAAGAAAATATCTTGAGCATACTCCTAATCTTAAGACATTTTTCCCAATGTTTCCTGAGTTGTCTAGCCTTGGTCCTCTAACAACTAGTTGTTAAGAAAAGAATATTTCATTAAACTTGTATGTGCTATATTTGCTTAATAATTTTAATTGATTGTCAATTGTCAATTTTTATCCCGGTTTTCTAGCAAATTTTAAAAGGATTCCAGGGACCTACTTCTAGCATCCTTAACAAGCAGTTGTTAAGACTTTTATTCCGTTTGACTTCATTTCCTTTCTAACAACCAGTTGCTAAGAATATATCTTGTAAAATTCTTTTGGTATTCTTAACAAGCAGTTGTTAAGACTTAATTCCGTTTGACTTCATTTCCTTTCCTAACAACCAGTTGTTAAGAATATACCTTGTGAAATTCTTTTGGTATTCTTAACAAGCAGTTGTAAAGACTTTATTCCATTTGATTTCCTTTCCATTTCTAACAACCAGTTGTTAAGAATATACCTTGTGAAATTCTTTTGGTATTCTTAACAAGCAGTTGTTAAGACTTTATTCCATTTGATTTCTTTTCCATTTCTAACAACCAGTTGTTAAGAATATATCTTGTGAAATTGTTTTGGTATTCTTAACAAGCAGTTGTTAAGACTTTATTCTGTTTGTCTTCCTTTGCATTTCTAACAACCAGTTGTTAAGAATATATCTTGTGGAATTCTTTGGGTAGTCTTAACAAACAGTTGTTAAAACTCTGTATAAAAGTGTAACAGTTTTACTTAATTTTATTTAACAAGCAATTACTTAAGAATTCCTTCAGCTTATTTTTCGTGTTCTTAAGAAACAGTTGTTAAGACATGCCAGATATATAATGGTTTCTTTAACAAGCATTTGGTAAGAATTGGAAAATAAAGTGTTTAAAGTATGCATAGATTTCAGTTGTCTTTTTTGTACTTAACAACCATACAGAGCTTTTGATCAAATGGAATTGATCAAGTTAAAATGGAAGGTGTTTTACATGTATAGCCACACCAAAGGTCCATTCAAAAGCTTCACCTGAAGGTAGGGCTTTAAATATAATTGCAATTTAAAAATGTACTTTTTGATTCCAATTGCTAGACTATGATTATAATGCTTCAGCGTATCAAGAATTGTTTCACAGCTGGGAGAGGCCCAGGGGACGGGTGGGGGATGAATCCACTAAGATTAATCCCGAATAGGAAAAAAGGCAAAAAAAAAAAAATGGTTGATGGATTTTTCTTTCATATATTTCAATCTTCTAGCCGATTCATCTAGGTATAGAGGGATCAGAATACTTTTTCAGTAACTTTACAGTGTAACTTTCATTACTCTGAAAATCTTTGGGAAAGGGGGGGGGGGGTGCTATACCCCAAACCTCCCCAACACTGAATATGTTTAAATACGTTCAACTACAAGTATTCAGAAAACCCTTGTCCAAATACATTACACATTTTATTTTAAGTGGTGCATGTAATGTACCGTATATTGATTTGATTATTGTTACGAGTGAGGATTTTGAAGTATATTAACTGGGTTTAAAACTTTTCCAATACAATTATTTCAGAGTCCTCATCTGTGATTTCATTACAATATTCCATAGATTTGTTGCATTTTGAAAGTTTATGATGTATTCTTAAATATATTGTTCATTTGAACTTACATGTAAGTCGGCAAATAGGATTTTTAAATATAATATTCTCAAGAACAACAGTCCCATGGTAAGTCATAAAAAAGGTGTAAGCATCTTAAACTGGTGCAATTTGTAATTGAGGACCACAAGGGGGGGGGGGGGTGTTCAAGTTTTACAAGAGAATATATAGGAAACAGTCTATAGACCTCTCCTCAAGAATAAGAGTCATTATTAGCTACATCACATGTTTTATGAAGTCCCACTTAAATAATTGAGATAAAAGTAAGCTATAATTTCTTAAACACATAAATATACATGTATAGCTATAGGTAACTTATAAACATTTTAAAAGAAGAGGAACAGTGCTGAACTAAATCATAAAGATGTATGCAAAATTTATAAGTAACAGTTATATGTATACATGTATTGATTAAAGTTCTTTTCCAGTCATATACCCTGGGATTAGGGTGTAAATTAAATCGGGAATAACCCTTTGCAAAACGCATCAATGTATAGCCAGGAAAAAATGTTTAATTTTTTTTCTGCAGAATAGTTAAATGTTGATTTGTCATATTGATGTCAAAATCAGCTATAAATATTTATCTAACAGGTAATTGTTGCCAATAAGCCTCTTGTTCATTACCGAAGTGAAGCCTCGATTAGGTTTAAACAAATGTATTTGAGGGAAATTCCATCAAATCATTCTCCGAAAAAAAAGATAAATTATTGTGGGTATATGTGTACAGGCATTTTCTTTTTATTCATTTACACACATATGACGTCAGTTAACATGGTTAAGACTTGAACATACATGTACAATTTATTTTGCAGGAAGATCATCAACAATTCTGCTAACAAAGTACACAAAACCACAGTCAATCCACAGTGCCATGAGGCTAAGTTGTTGTGATAAAAAATGCCTTGAAATGTTTTCATACATCGATATAAAGAATAGCAGAACCTTATTTTGGAGTAAATCTGTACAAAATCAAAATAGATTTGTCTTAGAGAAGTTTAGATGTGGCCAATACAAGAATGGAAAGTGGAGTTTTTTTGAAGCTGGGGAAAAAATATGCGCTAAGGCCTTCAAAGGGCTGTTAAACATGAATAAAAATAGATTTAATAAACTCAGAAAGAAGTTTAGTGCAGGCTACATAAGTTGTGAGCCGAATAATAGACAACGTTCTGTTAAGTATTTGGAGGCGATGAGCTGGCTGGAAACTTATGCTTTCTACAGAGCTGATGACTCGCCTGATTCTTCCAAAAAATTGCTGCCATACAAAACTAGGAAGATATCAGTGTACAGGAATTATGTTGATGAGAGAAGAGAGATGAACATGGCAAAAATCAAAAAGTCTACATTTTTCAAGATGTGGAATACAGATTTTCCAGACTTGAGAATCAAAGAAGTAAGTTCTTTATAAATTATGTTTTAATTGCTTTAAATTATTTTGATGATTGATAGTTTTAATATAAATAAAATCTAAATTATATTAATCAGGTTTAGAAAATGACCGATTTAAACATTCTTGACCCGTTATAGTCAGTGTAGTCAATAAATTTGTACACTGTTTCTACTAGTTTACTGAACATCAAACACATGTATGTAGAACCGACACAAATGCGATATGCGATCTGAAAAAATACAAGGCAACAAACATGGATATTTAATTTTCAGTTACAATTTCATCATTAGATTTATTGATAAAATTGAAGAGGATGTACACGTAGTACATCATGTACATGGAACGGTTAGGTTCATGTATTCAGTGCTTAAAACATTTTTAATAATTTATTTAAATTGAACAAGTTGGGTTAAGTGTTCAGTATGAATAAATCAGCAATGTTACATCAACTACCTAAACATTTAGGGGGAAAAAAAAACTTAAGCCATGAACTCAGCTGTAACGTTGAAATTTATCAAGTTTATATTCCGATTGATTTTATTTTATTTATTTATTTTATAGAAATTTTGACCTTTGTTATAAAAATGATTTTGTTATTAGGAGAAATATTCTTTTTTGTTTCCGAAAAGTATGCTTACATGTACCTGCAGATAATTATTAAACTTTTATGGATATGCTCACTCCGATTGCAACCACCTGTGAGGCTCCATTACAGAAGTAGATAGTTTAGATGAAAAATATTCTATCTGAACAAAATTATTTTTCTAGAAAAAAACCAAATGAAAGAAATCTTTAAATCCGGTGGGTGCCCGTGCATCATTGCACGATTGATCATTATAGCATATATGCATAAACAAGTGCAAGGTCATTCACAAAATAACATAAAAGAGATATATTGGCAAATGAAGTTTAAACACTAGGAACTGTTCAGCTGTATAATGGTCCCCCCTGAATATTACTTAGCAATTATCCTTATTTCGCAAAATAGACACATAATTTATTCTACTAAGCATGGTGAGCATACCCATTAAAATCCGTGCCGCTTGCAGTAAATACAATAAACACACACATAAACACACATCCTCTCTCTCTCTCTCTATCTCAATACATGTCAATAAAAGGCTACATGTAATATAAAATAATTTAGTGTACATATGTTAACTCTGCAAAACAAGACGGTCCAGTCATAAGTAAAATTTCGGCAATTAACAATTTTATAGTTTACATTGCTTATTTTTTCTTAATTTGAAAACGTATATCTGTAAAATTATACTAAATCTGAATTGAGAACCCAAACTCTAATCTATAGGCATATAAATATCAACTGGTTATTATGCTAAGTTCTTTTAATGTATATCAGCATTTTACATTAAAAAATGTATATAATCTAAAACGCAATCATGAGTAATAATGTTTTTGTAGGTAAATTCTTTTTCAAGATGTACGAAATGTACAAGCATTGGGCGTCAGCTGGAAAAAACGTCATTAAGCATCAACAGAAAGAAGGCTTTATTGTTAGCAAGAAATGAACATAACCACCGTCAGATGTAAGCATATTGATTGCATTTTTTCCTTACTTTTATCAGAACTAAATCTTGATTTAAATTTAATTTAAGGAGGAATGCTACACCAGATTTGTCAAGTTCAATTATTTTTTAACCCATATTGAAACTAATCAAACTAGTATTATTGTGAAAATGTTATCCATTTCCAATTGCTATAATATTGTGGTTAAGAAAAAATAATTTCTCTGAAATTTCGCAATTTCATTTTAATTCCTTTTTAAAATGTAATTGTCCAACATATCCTTTGTAGCTGTGACTTGTTTTTTTTTTTATTTATTATCCATAGCTTTTTATAAATATTCACAAAAAAATCAAAATGTTTATCTGACTTTTCTTTGCATACTTTATTAGATATTCATATTATGCATTTATTAACAGCACATTTTTATTTTTAAAGCATCTTATTTGCAAATAAATCATTTTTTTTTTCATTTTCTATGTTTAAAAAAATTATCTTACTATGTGATTAAATATTAAGTTAACCTCCTTTACTTTTGAGGAAGGGGGGTGATACTTAAAATTAATACCTTACAATAAGTCATTTATAGATAGCTTTTAGATGACTTACTTTACAGTATGTGAAAGAAAATTCATTTTCACTTTCAAAAATTTTAAAAATTAAACGAATACAAATTTGTAGGATGGAAAGGCAGTATTACTACAAGAAAAGAGAGGCAGCGAAAAGAGCACCAACAAAGTTTTTAAGCGTCATTGTGGATGGCATGGATCAATGTAAGCAATTTATTTTAGGCTTTAGTTGTTCTTTTTTCATCAATAATATTTGAGAATCAATTTCAGTTATATAAAGAATTATTTATTATTAATATATATCTGCGTTTATCATTTTACATGTACATGACTGTATATAACCTAGGAATAAGTCTTGAGAATTAATAAGGTTTGATCTACATGTATTATAATGTGAAAGAATTATGCAAAGTGTAATATTCAAAGGACATAGACTCCCTTTAAGTTGTGTCCAGAAAAATCACAAGTTTGTCACGTACTTACAAGTACATGTAATATTGTCTTAAACGGGCCTTTTGTTCTAGTGCTATTTTTATTAGAATTTTAATGTTTCTTAAAATTTCTAAATGTAAGAGTATGATATATAGATATATGATTATAAAGTCTTATATTTTTGTCCAATATTTTCTCATAACAATTATAAAGCATAACTCGACTAAGAAATGCTAGCTAAGAACACTTTTGGATTATATAGATGAAAGCATTTTCACATATAATCAAACCTCTTTCCTCAGAGTATCGTTTCAAAAGAAAGCTCTTTTTTGCAACATATTTTCACCTCACAGTCCACCTTTCTTTTTAAAAAAAAAAAAAAAAATACGTTTAAAATTGGCAATTGAATTTCGACCTCATAATAATGAGTCATATAAAATGACAGTAAAGTTCGATCAAATTTGACCAATACAGTTGAACTTTGAAGAAAATACCACGATACCTCGAATACCATTACAAATTGAAGTTATTTGAAAGCCCCAGCCACTCATTTTTCAAATTCTATAAATATTTTACACCAAATATATCGAATCCTTGGATTCTCGAAGTTTTTCTCATTCCCATTTTCTATGACATAATGAGGTTTTACTGTATTTACAAACATGAAGCCCTTTGAAATTGCTTTTTACAAATAATTTTTAGACATCTCTTTGAAATACTTATAAGTTATATATGTTGAATATTAATTTATAAATAAAAGACATGAAAAAAGTATTTTGTAAGAATATGCCCTATTCAAAGCATAACAATTTGGAAAATAATGTTAAAAATGCTAATAAGCAAAGTACATGTATCTGTTCAATGTTTAAGAAAACATGCAGTCATTTAAAAATACACTTATCGTCATCAATTCGATTCTTTTGAATTTCTCCGCTTTATTCTGTTTAAACTTGTCTTTCCTTTTTTCTTTTCTTTTCGGGATAGTATTAAACTTTTTAGAAATGAAAAATATAGGTATATATAAAATCCCTGTTGATAACATTAAGATAGATATATTATATCTATCTTAATGTTATCAACAGGGATTTTGCTTAAAATATGTATATAAATTTTAAAAATACATTTACAGCCTGAGAAAACTAGGGAACTTTCAAAACGTACCTTCCTGAAATAATGACTCACAAATGTACACCGCATTATCACTTTTATAAAAATACTTGCAAAAACACCCCAAAATTATGGACAAACTGATGCAGTTGAATATAGATAGGAAAAACTGCAATCCCGAGTAAGGGCAAGTGAGATTACTGGAACAAGCATTCTGAGAGTATTGCATTAGCAATACTAGTCCCCTACCGGCAAGTGTAATCTGGTTCCATTCCCGTTAAGAATTGAAAATGCCATAATTCCGTCAAAAATTAATGAAGCGGGACGAAATGCAAACTTGATCTATAACTAATCAAGGTTAAGCCACATACCAAAAATCAGCTCAATATCTACAAGCGTATAGAAGAAAATTGCGGAAAACCCGTAAAAATTGAAAAGGCCGTAATTCCGTCAAAAATCAATGAAGCGGAACGAAATGCAAACTTGATCTGTAACTCATCAAGATACACTCACATACCAAAAATCAGCTCAATATCTGCAAGCGTTTAGGGAAAAAGTGCGGAAAACCAAGTGGGACAGACTGACAGACAGACAGAGGGACAGACAGACAGACAGAGAGACAGACGGACAGACAGACAGACAGACGGACGGACAGACTCAGAGGAAACCTATAGTCCCCTCCGGTTTCACCGGTAGGGGACTAATAAAGCTTAGATAAAAAGAAGAAAGGACGTTGAGACCAAGCTTCAAACTTTCATTTTAATAAATAATTAAAAAAAACATAAAAAATATCTTTGATTAAAACAAGGCATATAATGTCTTTGATTAAAACAAGGTATATAATTCCTGAAAATATTTTTTAAAATTTTTCATTAATTTATTCTGTTTCAATTTATTTTCAAACTATTTTCTGTTCTAAGTTTCATAATTATAGCTTCTTAAGCTTCGAAGTGAAATCCATTCATCCTAATTGTCTGTATATGAAACAATATTTGCATTGCTGTTTGATTTGAGACTCATTTTTATCGAATAACTGATTTCTGAATTTCATTTCAGCGAAGAGTAACCTGCCACATTTTGTAGGAAGGACAGCAAAGGTACTTTATATATATATATATATATATATATATATATATATATATATATATATATATATATATATATATATATATATATATATATATATATATATATTCGATATGCGATTTCTCTAGATTTCATTTTGACAAACTAGCGCCTCTAGTAAGTCAAGAAATATTTTTTTTTATTACAGGCAGTAAATTCTGCTGACCAGTTAAAAACTCACATTTCTGGAGTAATTGCCCATGGTCAAAATGAATTTTTTACGTTTCTTGACATTGGGCAATATCCCCATGACTCCAACTTGACGATCAACATTATTCTCCAGATACTCTTCAAAATAAAAGATATAATGGTAACTATCCTTTTAATTTGTTTTATAATATTGGTCAGAGAACACTTTTATGTAAATATATTGCCAAAGTTCATGAAAATTTAATATGAATTAGATAATATTTGTTGTTTTTTTTTTTCCAGGGAGGAAAATTGCCACCCACATTTTATTTACAGGCAGATAACTGTTGGCGTGAAAACAAGAACAAATTTGTGCTTGCATTTTGTGAATACTTAGTGCATATAAAAGTCTTCAGGGAAGTAAGTACAATGTACAGGATTTTTTTTCTATGTTTATAAAAAATTTGTACTTCAATTTCTAAATATTGCATATTAAATAAGACTTTAGTCTATAATCCATAACTATTGAACATTTTCAGTTTTCTTTCTGGAATTTTGAGACCAATTTCAAACAATTCTGGTATACGTCATCAACATGATCAATGAAACAAAAATTATTGTGTATTTCATAGGATCTGTACAATTTTTGAAAGAAATATTTTTTAATTTTCGACTTCAAGAAGAAAATATTAGAATAATATGAATAATAATTATTACTATTGTAATAATAATAATAATAATAATAATAATAATAATAATACATGTAGTAGTAGCAATAATAATAATAACTGGATGCGATCTCGTTGCGAGCAACGAGTGGGTCTTCAGACCGAGTTTTGATAAGAATTTGACTGAGACTTTCATTCAAATATAATGATATAAATAAATTGTTACGACGAACAGTTTCGTCTTAGTTAAGTATAACAAAATATTGATCGTTAAATAGTTATTGATTAAAGGCTTTCGGGCCCCCTCGGTCCCTTATATTTAGGGTCAGCCCTTTTTATTGCTATCTGTTTTAGTCTGTCGTCGTTCGTCGTCAATTGGTCGTAAACTTTTGAGCATTTGTACACTCTTCTCTGGAACCACTGAACCAATTTCAACCAATTATGGCATATAGCATTTATGGGTGAAGGGGGGTAAAAATTGTGAAATGCATGGCCCCTGCCCCCCTGGGATCTGAGGGGTGGGGCTAAAACCATCAAAATTAATGCAATCTTTAAAAATCTTCTTCTTTACTCCAGGACATCGAGCAGTCAAACTGTTTGCATGATTGTAGTAAACATTGAGCCCTGTACCAAAATTGTGAAATTCATGGCCCAAGGGTCAGGGGTTCTGGTGCTAGGGCAGAGCTCTAATGATTATATAGTGAAAATGCATTAATTCCTTAAAAGTCTTATCCTCTGCTCCTAGGTATTTAGTCAATGAATTAAGTACATATTCATGACGAATAAGAGTGCCTCTTCCTTAATTGTGAATTTCTTGGCGCCTGGGCAGGGGATCTGGTGGTAGGGTGTTGGAGGCTCTAATGATTATATAGTAAAATGCATTAATTCTTTGAAAATCTCCTCTGCTCCTGGGTATAAGCTGATGAATTAAGTACAAAGTTATGATGTTCAAGAGTGCTTATTCCAAAATTGTGAATTTCATGACCCCTGGGTCAGGGGTTCTGGTGTCAGGGCGGGGCTCAAATGAATATATAAAGAAAATACATTAATTCTTTGAAAATCCTTTCTCTACTCCTAGGTATTAAGCCGATGAAGTAAGTACATGGTTAGGATGAGGAACAGTGCTTCTTCCAAAATTGTGAATTTCAGTGACCTTGGGTCAGGGGTTCCATGTTGGGGGGGGGGGGGGGAGGGGTTATTTATTATATACTGAAAATATTGATTGTACATGTATGTTTTCTACGTCCCATTCGAGAATTTTTCACTCATATAGAGACGTCACCATATACCGGTGAAGGGCTTCAAATTTTTACTCGGCGCTCAGGACCATTGAGCAGTAAGGGATCTTTATCGTGCCAACGCCTGCCCTGACATAGGGCTTCGATTTTTAAGGTCTCATCCAAAGGACCCGTAACTTTCACTTCAAAGTGCCGAGTGCATGGCGAAGGAACAGTTGCTACCCGTTTTTATCGACTTAGGTCTGTCGCGGCCGAGATTCGAACTCACGACCTCCCGGTCACGGAGCGAGCGCTCTACCGACTGAGCTACCGTGAACCGTATATACTGAAAATAAATTGATGCTTTGAAAATTAATGCTGTGAAAATCCTCTGCTTCTGCATATTAAGCCGTTGAACTAAGTACATAGTTTTGATGAGAAAGATTGCCTCTTCCAAAATTGTGAATTTCATGGCCCCTGGGTCAGGGGTTCCTTGTGGTGAGGGGGACTTATTTGCATGTATTATATACTGAAAATAAATTAGTGTTTTGAAAATCTTCTCCTCTGCCCCTTGATGTTAATTAAACAAACTGAATACATAGTTATGATGAGAAAGGGTGCCTCTTCCAAAATTGTGAATTTCATTGTCCCTGGGTCGCGGTTCTTGCGCTTGGGTGGGGCTCTATTGATTAATTAGCAAAAATGCATAAATGTTTTGAAAATCTCCTCCTCTGCCCCTGAGTACTTAGCAAACAAATTAAATGCAATGATATTAATGTGAATGTATTAAAATATAAGTAAATGTGCCTTTTCTTTGCTTCTGGGTATCTATGAGGCACACTGAATAGACAATTATGATAAGTGAAGCAAACGAGAGTTACTCCCTTTTGCTAGATGTTGTTAATCAAGAAATCCTTGTATATAATTTAATTAACAGGTTTTTTGATTGAATGAGAATTCAAGAAAGAATGTTTTATATATATAGAAACAAATAAAAATGAATGTTTGGTTTAAATGAGCAATGCGTGCTCAAAGTCAGATTCATGCCTAGAAAGCATTATAAAAGATAAAAGCATTATAAAAATTATTTATGCATGCATATTTAGCGAAACTTGTAATTGTACACAGCATGTTTACAATGTGGTGATCTAAGTTATTGTCACTGTAGAAGATCCATGGTCAACAAGAGAGTGGATATAGTTGTTTTATACTTTATCAAAGTGAACAAAGATTCACAGAGAGCCAGGGAGACTTAATGTAATTAGTGACAAATGGCAAATAGCCACGTTGTATACTCAAGTCTGCGTGTACTAAATTGTAGCACTAGACAATTGACAAAAACATATCTGTATATATTGAATACCTTACACAATAGGCAAGTGTCGATTGTATTTGTATATTTTTCATTCATTATCATCCCTGTAAGACTTAGGAAAACCAAGTATGATCCCAAGAAGATCACTCGGGTCTAGCACTTTACAATAAGCAAGGGCATTTTAACCAGATTTTTTAAATTCTTGGGCAACATTTCTTCGTCTTTCAGTTAATTTTGTATTATACCTCAATAGATCCTTTACAGTGTTGTATTATACTCAGGTAACCGTTAAGGCCCTTGGGCCTCTTGTTTCTTAGTAACATCTTCAAGCTCTCTTGATTTTGAACACCTTTTCTTCAATAACTATTCAGAAACTCTTTGTTTCCGAGATATTTGCAACAAAAATATTTAAGGACCAATCCTTAATGGGGACATTCAGCAAAAAAAAAAAAAAAAAAAAATAAAAAAAAAATGAAAGGTTAGATATTGTTCAATATATTTCTTCGATTTTTTTTTTCATTATTGTTTTTTAAAATATCTCCCATTTTTGAGAAACAGAATGCCATATAATTAACATTCTGGCCTCTTATGGCTCCTAATGATGTAACTTATTATGTAAATTTAATATACAGTTTTAAATTGTTGAGATAAACATTTTTGCTTCAGTAATGTATAACAAAATATTGATTGTTAAAGAGTTATTGATTGAGGACTTTGGCCCCTCTAGGCCCCTAATTTTAGGGGCCAGCCCCTTTTTTCTTGGTATCATTTTAAATACTTGGGGTTTTAAACACTTTTTGTTCAACAAGTATTCAGAATTTTTTTTCTCGTTTCCAAGATATTTGCAAAAGAAATGCTTCGGGACCGGTCCTTGAAATTCTTATTGGGGACATTTTGAAAGGTTACACATTGTTCAGAACATTTTTTATTTTTTGTTCAATTTTGCTTTCAAAATATTTTCCTCTTTCGAGATATAAAGCGTCAAAGATTTAGCATACTGGCTCCTTGTGGCCCCCAATAATGTAACGTATGACATAAATATCATAATACGTATATAGTTGTACATTATTAAGACACACAATTCTGCTTCAGTAATGTTAAACAAAATATTGATTGTTAGAGATTCAAACAAAGATATACCTTCGCTGAAATTTTCAAATAAATTGATCGAGCAAACTCCTAGAAATCTTCTGCACAAATATTATAAAGAAAAAAAAACAAGAACATTAATAAACAATGAAATAATGGAAAGGTCTGCCGTTAGAGACGAAAGACCCTAATATAAATAAATTGAAAAGTCAAAATAGGATTGATATATATGTATCAAAAAATCAATTACAGGTTCATCTATCGTTTTTGATGGTTGGCCACACGCATGAGGATATTGATGCTTGTTTCAGTAAAGTGGCCGATAAATTGCGGAGAAATGATGCCGAAACACTAGATGATCTTATTGAGCTACTTCCAAATGTCAAGGTCATCAACTTCATATATGACTTTCGGACGTGGATTCAAAACAGTATATGCGATTTGAGAAAACATACTCGTCCCCTTCATTTTAAGTTTAGAAGCAACGAGTCTCTAGTGGAAACATTTTATAAAGGAAAGTATGACTCTCCTTGGAAGAAACTTGAAGGAGGTATAATGGCTCGAAACAACCAGCAAAAAATTATCAGCATTCGAGGCAGTCCAAAACTGTCTCCAATTAACTTCGATGGAATTGGTTTAGAAAGAATATCAAGCCAGTTAAAGCATTGGAAATGTTTATTCAGTGATCAGATTGATCAGACCCAATATCATTGGTGGGAACGTTTTCTCAAGCTATGGAAGAAATGTGAGGAAAATTCTTCTGAACGTCGCAGGCTATTTTTTGCGAATGCACAATGGATTCTTCCAATGCTACCCAAACAGTTGAGTCATGATGAAAACGAAGAAGAGAACCTACTGCCAGACACAATACAGAACATGATGAATGATGAGCTTATTGAACCTGTTGTTTTGAGCAAGTAAAATAGGATATATGTTGTAAATGAAAAAAAGTATAGAATTTACCATCTAAATCATTTTTAATGATTTTTATAATGATAATGATTCACAAAAACGTTGTTGATTTTTCCCAAAGTAAACAAATACCTCCCCAAAGCTTCTATATATCCCTTATTGTACTTGTACTCTAGAATAATTTTCTTTATCTAAGTTTTTATAACTGTTTAAGAAAATTTTCATGTTTTGTTGTCACATGACAATGATAATTTTAGGAAATGAACTATCATTGCTTGTATATTTCCTCGATAATAAGAGAAATGTAAGCAGAGCATGGTAGGTATGTCAGACTGCTATTTGGAACTCACAGAGTTTCAAAACTGTAAAAAAAAAAAATCTAGCGAATATTTATAGCTTGTTATGTTATGTTTTTTAAGTCCACCTTGATGCATTTTATCGACTCAACCATTGCTTTTATATAAGCATATATGAAAGATAGATAGATAGATATATATATATATATATATATATATATATATATATATATATATATATATATATATATATATATTTCTATCTAGTGGTACTATTTGTCACTGTGTCTTTGATACCTTTCGTATTTTTCAATATATTTTTAAAATTTCCATTTTCCATTGCAGCTTCTAAAAAAATGATAGATTATCTAGCATTGTTAATTTGTTTAAGAAATGTTTTCATCATCATTGTAAGACGGTTGAAAACCACTCTGTATTATCTTGGTGAGTTCACCAATTATAGTAGATTTATTTGTAAAAGCATTTTTAAGTGAATTTGATTTGTATTTTTGGTGGAACCACCAAGATCATTCGTGATAAATTCACCAATTTTTTGCCTATGTGTGTGATTTAACCTGATTGCATGACAGGAAAGTGGTGGCTTCACCAACTTCTTCCTTATTATAATGCATTTAAGCTATTGGTTTGAAATATTTTTGGTGGTTCCACCAGCTTTGTTCAGTGCAATTTTTTCACAGAAGTTATGTTGCAATTAGGCTTCACTTTTGTGAATTCACATTCACAAGATTGGTAGTTACACCAGCATCAGTTCAAAAATTGTTGCATTTTGCCTATCATTATTTACGGCAGATTCGTCAGCTCATTGCTTCAATTAGTTTATAAAATTAACTTTATTATGGGTTATAGTTGGTTTAATTGGTGAATTAACTAGCACTGTTTATTAGTTTAAGAAATGTTTTCATCGTCATTGTAAGATGTTTAAAACCAATTTGTATTATATCTTGGTGACTTCACCAATTCTAGTTGATTTATTTATAGAAGCATTTTCAAATGATTTTGCATATGTATTTTTGGTGGAACCACCAAGATCTTTCGTGACATTTTTCACTTCAGGGACGATATTTAATCATTCAAAATGGTGTATTCACCAATTTGTAGCCTCGATGTATGATTTAACCTGATATGACAGGAAATTGGTGGCTTCACCAAGTTCTAATTAAGCAATTGGTTTAAAATATTTTTGGTGGTTCCACCAGCTTCGTTCAGTGCAATATTTTTATTTAGGCTTTACATGTTTTTGGTGGAGTACGTTTTTTTTATTATTAATATTTACTCAACATTGTAGTTTCTTATAAATTGGTGAATTCACCAGCATTGTTTATTAGTTTAAGAAATGTATTCGTCGTCATTGAAAGATGTTTTTTAAAATCACTGTATAATCTTGGTGACACCACCAATTCTTGTACATCATTTACAGATTTTGTTGTTTTTGTATTTTTGGTGGAACCACCAAGATCGTTGTTGATATTTTTCATCTCAGATTTAAAATGGTGTATTCACAAATTTTTAGCCTGAATTTGTAATTCTATTAACTGCAAATCTGTTTTCACTGCAGAAAAGTGGTGGCCTCACCAATTTCTTGTTATGTCAAATAAGGAAATGGAATAAAAAAATATCTTCATTTCTGAAATTGCCTTATATTCATTTTTCATTTTGTACTGAAAAAAGAGGACACGAATAGAAAATCCTCTTTCTTAATGGAAACAGTTTAGTGCAACCTGCAAAATTGCCACGGTTTACATTACATAGGGCTTTACTCATCTATTTTGAGGAAAAAATTTTATTAAAACAAAATATCCCTTTTATAATGCCATAATTAATAGCTTCAGTGTTTGATTAAGTTGACATTAAAAAAAATGAATGCAACGGGGAGACTTCAGCTTACCTGAGGTCATGTTTAAAATAATGTTTGTTTGCTCTCTTCAGACTCAGGATAACAAAATTCGGTGGGTAGAAAGACGGGATGTTTTTCCCAGAAATGTTCAACATCAATGCTGATTGTTCAAAATCTACAAAACCCTTGGAAGATCTCACTGCGACAATTCGGCGAAGCAGTGGCGCTATCTAGTGATTAACTAGAATTGCGCTCCTTTCAACTCCATTTTTTATCTAATTAAATAACGGAATATATACGTGCTACGGCAAAACAGCGAAGTGAAACATGTTGACAAAGAAAAATTTACGATACTTTTAAAGTCAAATTAAGAGATACCCGAGAAAAAGGCAATAACTGGTTGTTGTTTTTGTTTTTTTTTTTTTATCAGATCCTGATGTTTTGTTGGGACCCGTACGAACGTTGCGATTTGATCAGCTACTCGTAGCTGTAGTCAATCATAGAAAATTGCGTATTACCGAATTTTCGTAATGAAGTGAAAGAAAAAGGATGAAAATCAAAGTATGTCATCCCTCATTTACTCATGGGGTATATTTCACACATTAAGCACGTGGGAAATAGTGAAGTGTATGCGTCTCATCGCATCATACCTATGTGTTTTAGCTCCCTTGATCCACAAATAGCAAAATACTGGTCAATATACAATATACGTACTATGCTTTTCACAGAGAAAGTCGTAAGGAATGTTATGTGAATTTTTATATAATTGAATAGTAACATGTCTACACTCGATAGATCAAAGAAAAAAAGAGAATTATACCAGTTATATTCAGACAAGGATACGAACCTTGGAACAAAGATATGAAATATGCAACAATCACAACGCTGAGCAAACCTCGATCAACAGCACGGTGTGTCATCCCGATTAAGTGGTCTATGAAACCGCCTTACGTTCGTACAGTAGGTCCGAAACATTGTTTGGGGCAAATAAGCCCTAAAAACAGATACTGGAAAAGGAAACGTGTGGAAAATCTGTTGAAAATAATACTTCTCGAAGTTGCAAGATTTTTTTAAATTGTGCATGAATCGTGCCTCTGAAAGACCAGATGGTGTCAAAACAACAATCGACTAGAGAAAAGATGCAAACATCTAAGAACTGTTTCTTTGATACAAGTCGAAACAAACTGTGCGTAGAATGCAAAAAGAACAGAAGACGTCCTGCAGCAGAGTGGATAAATGAAGGACCTTCAATGGCAACATTAAAGTCAAAAATCCGAGATAGAGATGTTGAAATCTTGATGACACTTCTAGATATTAGAGGTTTAACAAGTTAAACAAACATCAATAATAAAATTAATAAGCAGTGTAAAGAAGCAGTATTGAACTTAAAGAACATTGAAATCAGGTCTGCAGAGGAAGTAGCAGCCTGTCTAGGAAAAGGACAAGAAATTTTTCGCTAAAAGTTGGCAAATATTTCGTTCTAGAGAGGACTTGAGCTCGTTTGCATTCGGAAGAATTGCACAGTTGATTCTTTTGCACCCACAGCTTTTACGAAACTGTGTTTAGATACTTCGTCAGTCAACATAACTTTGTTTAGCAATGTATGTTTCGACTTGAATTTTTTTTTTCGAGGACACTATGGGTGAAAAAGAATGATAGGTCACTGAAAAGATAAGAGTATGTCATATACACATGCTATAAGCACTATGTGGTGGATTGCACAATATATATTCAGATTCTTAGAAATCTGAAAAAAGAATGACAAAACTCCTATTCTATTCCGTTCACTCTCCTTGATTTCGTGGATTTGTGACGCAAATTTAACTTCACAAACGTCATAAGAAAAGAAATGACGTCAATGTTTACGTATGGTCTAAGGCCTTAACCAAGAGTGTATATGCAAATGTAGGCCTATTAATACATAGAGTTAAAAGTAAGTCTTCAGCAACACTTGGTTCAAAAAGACGTTATGACTGTCCTTATCGTTTATTCACAAGTTATCATCAAATCTGTTTAGGAGACAACATGCAACTTGACACTGGTCTATAGAGCGGACGGAATATGCTAATCTACCATTGCCAATGTACTACTGGACTGACTTTATGCTATTTGCAGTTGTCAACACTTAACTTAATTTTCAGTTTTAAAATATAATAGTTTTACATTTATTTTATTGCAGACATTACAGTTTACAATTTTGATATTACATTATAAATAATTTACTTCACATATTTGAAATGTCAGATGGCGACTGGACTTTTCTTCTTCCTATGATAAAGCACAATAAAGTCCTTGAGTCTAAATTTATTCCTTTCCTTCCAGAAATCATTACTTGTATACAACCATGACCATAGATTTCAGGGAATACATTTTTATTAAGTTGAAGTTACATATCTAGTTTTCATTATTCCCATTTAATTGTGTTGTCCGCCTGTAAATTTTCCCATTACTTTAACCAACTGTTGTTTTCCTACCAACAAGTGATAGAGGAATCCAATACCAGGAAGGTAGACCTTGAGAATCATTCAGATTTATGACTGAATCTTGTGTTTTTGATGGTAGGATAGGTGCTTCATTGGAACGTAGTTGTCTCGAGGAGGAATATGTTGCAACAGGGGATCCTATCCTTGGATCTTGTTCCAGTTCATTAGAATGAGGAGTAGTTTGACCTTGTTTGTGAAATTGTTCCTGAACATTATCTTTCTCTTGCTGAGATGGTTACCTTAAATAATGTTTTGTCCCTTTCTGTCAGAATTCTTGATTGTGGGCCTTACACTTGTTGCATGACGTTACCATTTGAAGATATTTCTTTTTCAATATGTAAATTCTTCAGAGAGAACTAGGAAGATTTTTCACAT